ATTTATACCAATACCTTCATGTATTTTTAATAGAATTAAGTGTTGAACTTTATCAAAAGCTTGTTCTGCATCTATTGATAAAAACCTATGATTTAAAGAAAAACTTTTTTTCTTATCAATGTGATCAATTGTGTTAATACTTTTCTTTACATTAAATCATCCCTGTATTCCTGGCATAAATCCCACTTGAGCATAATGTATAATTTTGTAATATATTGCTGTAATCTTTTAGCTAGTATTTTTTCATCCATACTCATTAATGAAATTGGGCTATAATTTTCTTTCTCCATTTTTACTCTTCCTGGTTTAGGTAGCAGTATCATACTTGTTTCATAAAAGGAGTTTGGTAGGACCCTTCTTTCCCTATAATTCCACATACTTTATTTAAGATTGGAATTAGTTGATCTTAACATTTTAATAGAAATCACTTGTAAATTCATCTGTCTCTAGTGCTTTTCTCTGAGAAAGTTCATTTATGGCCTGCTCAATTTCTTCCTCTAAAAGAGTTCTATTTAGATGGTCTATTTCCTCTTCTGCTGATTTTTTTTGTAAATATTCTTTAATTTCACCTACATTGTTAAATTTATTGGTATGTATTTGAGCAAAATAACTCCTTATGATTTCTTTGATTACATACATCTTCATTAGTGGTATATTCACCCTTCTCATTTTTGATACCAATGAATTGGTTTGCTTCTCTCTTTTTAAATCAAATTAACCACTTTTTTCTATTTTATTTGTTTTTTTTTGTAAAACCAACTTCAAGTTTTATTTATTAATTCAATGTGTTTCTCCTCTCAATTTTATTAATTTCTATGATTTCCAAATTAGTGTTCAATTGAGGATTTTAGTTATTTTAAATACCTATTCACTTTGTTAGTCTGTTCTTTATTTTATTGATATAAGCATTTATAGATATAAATTTTCCTTTAATCATTGTTTTTGCTGTATCGTATAGGTTTTAATATGTTGTCTCATTATTGTCATTCTCTTTAATGAAATTATTGATTTTTTTCTATGATTTGTTCTTTAACCCACTCATTCTTTAAGATAAGACTGTTTAATGTCCAATTAGTCTTTAATCTATGGATCCATGGTCCATTATTAAATATAATTTTATTGCATTATGATCTAAAAAGGGATACTTTCAACATTTCTGCTTTTCTGCTTTTATCTCTAAGCTTTTTATGTACAAACATATGGCCAATATTTGTAAAAGTATCATGAAACCCTGAAAAAAGGTGTATTCCTTTCTATCTCCATTCAATTCTCTCCAGGTATCTATCATATCTAGCTTATCTGAAATTCTATTCTCTTTTTTAACTTCTTTCTCATTTATTTCCTGGTTAGATTTATCTAGTTATGACAGAGGAAGATTAAAGTCCTCAACTGTTACAGTGCTACTATCTATATCCACCTATAATTCATCTAACTTTTCTTTTAAAAAATTAGATGCTATAGTATTTGGTGCACATAGCTTCAGTATTAATATTGCTCCATTGTATATGATACACTTTATCAAAAGAAGTTACCATGTTTATCTCTTTTAATAAAATCCCTTTTAGCCATAACATTGCTGAGATCGTAATTGCTGCTCATGCATTTTTGCCTCAGCTGAAGCATAATAAATTCTTTTTCAAATCTCCATTTTAACTCTGTATGTATCTCTCATTCTTAATTGTGTTTCTTGTAAACAACAATGTTGGATTCTGATTTTTAATCCATTCTGCTATTCATTTCTGTTTTATGGATGAGTTCTTCCCACTCACATTCAAAGTTATAATTACTACTTGTGAATTTCCCTCTATCTTATTTTTACTCACTATTTTCCTTCTCAGCCTTCTTTTACTCTATCTTCTCCCATACTCTTTCATTTTTGATTTTACCCACCCCTCTAAAAGTCCCTCCTTTATCTTGATCCCTCACACTACTCATCTTAAGCTATTTATACACCTTCCTAAAAGTCCCTCTCCCACCCTGTTCCCCAGTTTTCTCATCTCCTTATCACTTCAGATAATTGCTAAACCACTTCAGGCATACATGTTGTTTCCTCTTCAACTCAGATGAGAGCAACATTCCAACATTATCAGCCCTCCACTCCAACCTTCTTTCCCTGTATTAGTTCTTCCTTCCATGCCCCAATTTTTTCATACCCAATTTTGTTTTTAGAATCACCTCCTCCTACATAACTCAGTCCCAACCTTTCTTTCAAACTACCTTAGTAGTGATGAAAGTTTTAGGAATACTGATAGTATTTTCATGTATTATAAATAAGCAGTTTGGCCTTAATAGTGCCTTGTAATTATTAGTCTTTAATGTTTTCTTTATGTTTCTTCTGGATCTTTTATATTGAATTTTTCATTGAGTTCTGGTCTTTTTGTTGCAGATACCAGAAAGAGGGGCAGTTAGATAGTGCAGTGGATATAGCACTGGCCATGAAGTCAGGAGGACCCCAGTTCACTTCTGGCCTAAGGCACGTGACACTTATTAGCTGTATCACTCTGGGAAAGTCACTTAACCCCAATTGCCTCACACACCAAAAAAAATACCCTGAAGTCTTTCAGTTTGCAAATGTCCATTTTTTTCATGTTCAGGATTGTATTCAACTTTTCTGAGTAAGTTATTCTTGGATACAACCCCAGGTCCTATGCTCTTTCAAATATATTGCCCACCCCATGTCATATTCATGTAATTATAAGAGATATTAAAAGCACATTTTTGAAACTTTGTAGTTCTTTAAGCAAGCATGTATTTAGCGTATGCAAAATTTATTGTATTATATTGTTTTTTGACTTCCTCAAAAATATATTTATTATGTAGTATTCATTGGAAGACTGCTCTAGTTCACAATAATTTGCAGTCAGATGTCACAATCCATGACATAAAATGAAAGCCAGTGTTATAAAATTTGAATACTTCAAGAATCTTTGATATCATTAGCATTGGTACAATATACATGACAACCTCACTCTCAGTAAAAAATCTTTAAGACTTTCTCTGACCAAAAATTTAATCATTCTTCAGCCCATCCAATAATGAGCCTCTCCATACTAAACTGCGATGGTTCATGAATGACAAGTATAGAATCTATTACCAAGTCTGTGCTCAAAGTCTTTCCTACTTAATAGAACCAGTCAGATTGCTCTTGTGAGTGACCAGCAAAGCTTTTTTAATCCAGGTACTTCTCCATGACATCAATATATATTCAAGCAGAACAATTGTCTAGATAATAGACTGAAATGTTGAGTTTTTGATGAAATCCCTTTTAACTTTGGCATCTCATTCAACTTCCAGGAGTGGGTTCTTGATTCTATTTTCTATATGAATTAAAATATTTAGGTCATCAGTGGGTTCAGAACTTTTTTTGAATATGTGTCACTTACTAAAAACATTAAAACCATCAGTCTTCTTCCAATGAATTCTAGTGAAACTTCCTTTTTTTCACTAATAAACTAAAACTAGAATAGGTTATTTACAATAATTTTTTTTCGTTTTCCTTTGTTTTGTTTTGTCCAGCGAGCTATAGAGCATTGTGGATAGAGTTTTGGGCTTGGAGTCAAAATACATGAGTTTTAAATTCTGACAGAAACACTTACTATCTATGTGATAAAAGGTACATCACCTTTCTGAGACTCAGTTTCTATATCTGCAAAATGGGGATAATAATATCACCTACCTTCTAGTCATTTTGTGAGGATCAAATGAGATAACATATAAAACACATTGCAAAATTTAAAGCTTTCTGTATAAATATTGTTATTTTAGCTATTGTTTTCTTACCAAAGATTTTGACAAAAAAAAGTTTCATCAGCTTTGAATTTTTCCAAATGTGATGGATTACAAAAAATGACAGTACCTCAGGGAGATTAAAATAATACTTCCCCCCAGACACAATACCTTTCACTGTCACTAAAAGTATTGATCTGGTATGTTAGCTTTCATAATGTCCCATAGGTATAGTATTTCTTCCACTTTTAGATGCTTCATTATTTTTTTAAACACTATATGAAATTAGTCACTCTTTGATGTTATTTCCATTGTCATTCTACTTCTTCACAGTAAGAAAGTATCTGAGTATCTGATAGTGACTCTTTTCCAGTGTTCAGTGACCATTCCCACCCACAAGATGACAGTAATTGTTTTTTTTCCTCCTACTGTGTTCTACATCAACAACATCTGACAATTCGCACATATTTGAATTCTCTCACATTAAACCTATTTGAGTTATTTTGGCAAAGTGAGTGCTTATGAGACTGATGAAAAGTTGTCCAGTGCAAAAAAAAAAAAAGAAAGGTTAGGAAAATATGCTTAGATGTAATTGTTGGCTACCTCTCAAAAGAAAAAAATCAAAATGACCTAGATTTTTAAGAACTTTGACCTATTCTTAGTGCATAATAGCAGAATCATCCACTGCCAATTAATTCTGGGCTCACAGTGACTGGATTAATGGTAAATGTATTTTGTTGACCAGGATATTAGAGGCAGATCTACTCAGACTTAGTTAATAGGTGGCAGTAATGATACATCTTCACTTCTTTCTGCTTCTGAACCAGACAGATTGTTCTAAAGATCTTGAAATAACTCAACCTCTCAATGAAGATAGGAAAGGAATTTATTCCAGTTGTTGTGGTTTCCCTCCAATTTGTTGTGATTTCCCTCCAAAGATAATAGAACACTTTATATTCCCCTTACAGGAGACATAACCTCTTCTTACATTACTATAGTTAACTTAGTACTTCTGTATCCTTGTGTAGCTGAATACTTCTGCATTTTCCAGAGTTCAAGACCATTTTTAAAGTTTAACTTTGGGAAGGGCAACAATGATATAGCAGATGAAAATAGTCTAAAATGATTGTAGGAAAGCAAGTTAAAGAATCATTTGAAGTATTTCTTACTGGTTTCAGCCTTCTCTCTGTCCATTTCCCCAATGAGAAAAAGGATAGATTAATAAAGATCAGCAGATATTTGCTTCATAGAATTGGGTGGATATGAACTAAACCATGCATTTTGGTATCTTTCTCCAATGTCTTTGTTTTCAACATAGGGTTATGGACAACAATCAGACCACGGTGACAAATTTCATTCTGCTGGGATTTCTTGTTAGCCCTAAGATGCACCTAGTTCTTTTTGGGCTCTTCCTCCTACTCTATACCTTCACTCTGCTGGGAAATGGAGTCATCCTGATGCTGATTTGTCTTGACTCCCGACTCCATACTCCTATGTACTTCTTCCTTTCACAACTGGCTATTGTTGACATCTCTTATGCCTCAAACACTGTCCCTCAAATGCTGGCAAATCTCCTGGATCCAACCAAGCCCATCTCCTTTGCAGGTTGCATAATGCAAGCCTATCTCTTTATGGCATTTGCCCACATTGAATGTCTTCTTCTGGTGATGATGAGTTATGACCGGTATGTGGCAATCTGCCATCCCCTCAGATACAAACTCATTATGAGGTGGGAAGTGTGTATTGCACTGGCTATCATATTCTGGGCATTTGGATCCATCCTGGCATTGATCCATGTGCTTCTCGTCCTTAGGTTGCCCTTCTGTGGTCCTTGGGAAGTCAACCACTTCTTCTGTGAAATCCTATCTGTCCTGGAACTTGCCTGTACAGACATATGGCTCAACAAATTAGTCATCTTTGTTGCTTGTGTGTTTATCTTAGTTGGACCCCTCTGCTTAGTCCTAATCTCCTACACCCATATCCTTAGTGCTATCTTGAGAATCAAGTCAAGGGAAGGACAAAAGAAAGCCTTCTCTACTTGCTTGTCACACCTCTGTGTGGTTGGGCTTTTCTTTGGGAGTGCCATCATCACTTACATGGCCCCTAAGTCAAGGAACTCTGGGGAGCAACAGAAAATTCTCTTCTTGTTTTACAGCTTCTTTAATCCTACCTTAAATCCTCTGGTGTACAGCCTGAGAAATGCAGAAGTAAAGGGGGCCCTAAGGAGATTGCTTAGGAAGGAGTGACAAGGTTAAGGGATTGAATAGAAATTTCTTTATATAGAGGAAGAGACAGCAAAGGAACCTTTGGAGTTTATAACAAGTTGGGCAGTAATTGGCATGAGATTAAATCATCCTTTTTTTTTTCTTTTTTCTTTGTCCAAATTCTCTTGCTCCTCTTTTTCTACCTATGCCTCCTTCTGGAGCACTTCCATGGGTCTGAATCTCTTTATTTTTGCCCTATATTTTCCTTATTTCTGTGACATGCCTCCATACTTCCTATGTTTCAATTGAAACATTTTTTGTGTCCTATTCTCTCAGACACTGCATGTGAGTGCAGCATGGGAAACTACAAACTAATGACTTTTATTAAATTATTTATTAAATTTATTATTTATTAATTACTCATTTATTAAATCAATATTGATATAATTTGCTTTTATATTACATTTACTTCTGACTATTTCCCTCTCTTCCCTATTTTAAGGTCCTTCATTTTTATAAAGAATAAAAATTAAAGAAAAAATGTAATTCAGCAAGATTAATCAACAACTGTGTCAAGACTGACAGTATCTGCAATGTTTGACATCCGTATCCTTATCTATAATCACCAACATCTTCAAAGCATACAGAGAAATGAATTTTTCCATCTCTTCTCTGGGAATTATTTTGGCCATTTATTCATTCATTCATTCAGTCAGTCAACAAGGATTTATTAAGTATTTACTATGTAACAGTACTGTGCTAAACAGTGAGTATACACAGAAAGGCAAAGCAGCATTCCCATCATCAAGGAGCTGACATTTAATGGAGAAAATAATTTTCAAATAACTATTTACACTCAATTTGTGTTCAGTGGAAATGGAAGGTAATCTTAAAGGAAAGGCACTAGATGTGGGGATTATTAAGAAAGACCACTTGCAGAAGGTGTGAAGGTTTTTTTCTTTTTGAAAAACATAAATTCTGTAAATTATCTTCTTCCAGAATAAGCCTGTTTCGCCCTTGTTAAAAGTTAGTTGATCAGTATGTCCACAGTTCTTATATTATTTTCTTCAAAACACCAGAATATTTAGCTACTGCATCCTCATCTGCATTGTCCACCTCTCTAGTAATTTTCCTTAAATTATGGAACTGAACTTGATGTTTACAGTATCAAGCTAAAAATACTTTAATAAAAGTTTCTTCATTATCCATTTAATTTCCATTTCTTTCACTATCTTACATTAACTTCAAGCTTTTGTGGAAATAACAATAATAAACAATAGCTAACATTTATGAAGTGCTTACTGTTTACCAGGTTCTGTGCTAAGAACTTTATAATTATCATATCATTTGTTCCTTGAATGATCATGGGAAATAGGTTATTATTATTCCAATTTTACAGATAAGGAAAGTAAGGCAAACACAAGTTAAGAGATCAGGTAACGTGCAATTCAATGCAGAAAGGCAGAAATATTAAATACACCCTTTTCAGAACATGATGCAGTAAAAATTACATGTATTAAAGGGCCATGGAAAGACAGACTAAAAATTAATTGGAAACTAAATAATCTAATCCTACAGAATGAGTGAGTGCAACAACAAATCATAGAAATAATCAATAACTTCATCCAAGAGAATGACATAATGAGAAACCATACCAAAACTTTTGAGATGCAGAGAAAGTAATTCTTAGGGGAAGTTTTATATCTCTAAATGCTTACATGAATAAAATAGAGAAAGAAGATATTAATGAATTTGGCATGCAACTACAAAAGCTAGAAAAAGAACAGATTAAAAATCACCAATTAAATACCAAATTAGAAATTCTGAAAACCAAAGGAGAGATTAATAAAATTGAAAGTAAGAAACTATTGAACTAATAAATGAAACTAAGAGTTGGTTTTATGGGGAAAAAAATAGATATACCTTTGGTTAATTTAATTTTAAAAAAAAGAAAGAAGAAAATCAAATTACCAGCATCAAATATGAAAGGGGTGAATTCACCACCAATGAAGAGGAAATCAAAACAATAATTAGGAGCTATTTTGCCCAATTCTATGCCAACAAATTTGACAATCTTAATGAAATAGATGAATATGTACAACCATACAAATTGCCCAGATTAAGAGAAGAAGAAGTAAAATACTTGAATAACCCCATCTCAGAAAAAGAAATTGAACAAGCCATCAATGAACTCCCTAAGGAAAAATCTCCAGTGCCAGATGGATTTACAAGTGAATTCTGTCAAACATTTAAAGAACAACTAATTCCAATGCTATATAAACTATTTGGAAAAACAGGTGAATAAGAATTCCTACCAAAAATTTTTATGATACAAATACAGTGCTGATACCTATTTACCTAAACCAGGAAGAGCCAAAATTGAGAAAGAAAATTATAGACCAATTTCCCTAATGAATATAGATACAAAAAACATTAAATAAAATATTAGCACAGAGATTCCAGCAACTTATCTGGAGGATAATACACTATGACCAGGTAAGATTTATGGCAGGAATTCAGGGCTGGTTCAATATTAGGAAAACTATCAGCATAAAAAGAGAGAGAGAGAGAGAGAGAGATCAGGTGACATAGCTAGTAAATGTCTAAGATTGCATTTGTTGTTTTTGTTGTTGTTGTTGTTGTTTTATAGGCAATTAGGTTTAAGTGACTTGCCCAGGGTCACACAGCTAGTAAGTGTCAAGTGTTTGGTGTGAGTCAGGATTTGAACTCAGCTCCTTCTGACTTCAGGCCCAATGCTCTATCCACTGCACCACCTAGCAGCCCCTCTGACATTACATTTGAACTCATCTTCCTGGCTCCAGGCCAAGTGCTCTGTCCTTATGCTCTGCTAAAAAGAATGCATTTTTGTTGGGAAAAAATGTAATAGAGACAGGAAAAAAAGTTATTCAATTTCTGTCTTTGTAATGTTTCTATTTCTTGTAGTTGTTTGCAAATGACTACAATCTCACAACTTTGCCTTTTTAAAATTCTACCTGTTTTTTTTAAATAATATTCTGCAATATAAATTCAGGCATTCTCATATCTCATCCTACTTTTCAGTTGCTATGCCCACAATTATGCTATTCAAATATATTCAATTTGTGTTCAAATTTAATAATAAACATCTTTTTTGTGCTGGCACCATTTCCATTCAAAGTATTCTTCATATTATCCATTTTATTAAGGGTTCTTTAAATAAATTAGCGTAACTATTGGTAGCACATATTCAGCAGTACATCACATCTGCATACAATAATAGGATAGTGGAGGCAGACAATATATATGATGTTAACACCCTCAATGAGCTTGTGTGCATCACATTAAATGAAATTTCACTCCCTGAATATAACCTGGTATCATTTTATAATTTGCACAAAATAGAATTTTGAATTATTTGGATGTAATCATAACCTAGCTAAAATGATTTTTTTACATCTGCTGAAGCATGATAAACTTTACTCCTACCTCTCATTTTAAATCTACATAAATCATGTTTCAAGAGAGCTTCCTATAAGCACTATATTATAGGATTCTATTTTCTAATCCATTTAACCCAAAGCACTTTGGTCATGAGAAATTTTTGATTACCACCCTTCTAATCTGAGCTTTGCAAACTCCTGACCATAATTTGGGTTTGGGTGCTGCAACTGTAGGTTTGCCCCAGGTTGGAATTCTAATAGGCGACTATTAGCCACAGTCCCTGTAAGCTGACTAGAAAGTACTGCACGTTCAGAGAGACAAAACTACAGGCTATTTCTTTGCCTGAGTGCCTTGCCTTTGTTAATCAGCTGCAGGACTCAGATAAACCTGGGAGATAAACCAGGCTGTGAACATTCTTTGCCCTTGTCCACTACTCTTAGATTCAGGTCATCTCCTGAGTCAACACAAGATCTGCGACCCAGCTTTTGCTGCTGCTTCCTATTTTATTTATCTTTACAGGTGATGTATTATATTCTGTTAGTGGAATATTAAAGTCTCTCATTATTAATGTTTTATGTATACATATAATTAATTTGTTTATTTATATTATCTATTACATTAATATATTTAAATTAATACTTAACACATTTAATTCAGTTACTTTTTATTTTTTAAATTAACTTCTATGATTTTAAATATGTTGATACATTTTCTTTCTAAGTATTTAAGAAGTATTTAACAACTTTAGTTGAGTTGGCAATGTTTTCTTATTAAGTATGAAGTTGCTGCCATTGTTATTTCCTTCCATCTTTTTAATTAAAATTCAGTTTTGTCCAATACTACATCAGTTTTTTTCCTTATATGTGCAAATGCTTTTCCAACTAAAGTGTATTTACTGAAGATCTTGCATTTTTAATGAATTTTTAATATTTTCCCATCAACCGAAGAATTAAATCTATTTACATTGCTAGTTATAGTTATTATGTTTGTTTTCATCTATTTTATGCTGCCATAGTTTGGTGCTTAAAAAAAAGCCTAATATAATAAAAGCTTTTTGAATTGAATAAGTATTATACTCTCCTTTAATTCAGCAGGTTTACTTCAATTGCAGTTATCATATATACAAACTTCTCTATTATTAGCTCCTTGAGGACAAGAACTTTTTTTATTTATTTTTTTCTTTGTATATTTAGTAATTAACACAGTTTGTGGGCCTTATAGGGGCTTAATAAATGTTTGTTGCTTAGGAATGAAATACAATGCATAAATTTATACTTTTACATCCATAATTTTTTTTTCAAATATTTGGTTCCCCAACCTACTCCCTTAATTAGAAAGAAGTATCTCTGGAGACCCTTCTCTAAGTTCCTTGATCTTTGCTTATAAAATTTTAAAATGTACTTCTAATGGAATTGACCATATATCTGGTTTTGCTTCTTATCTCACTTTTGCAATTTTGTTTTTCAAAAGAACTGTTCTGTTACTCCCATTTAAATTTTCCACATATTTCTCCATCATATGTTCCAATATCATTTTGTCTGATCAATTTCTTATGGAAAAAGACTCATCTAAACAAAGTCAAATGTTTAAATATAATGTTTCCTAATGTATTTATTATCTAT